TTTAAGTAATTTTCGGAAGTGGGACTTATATGGGAGCTATGACCAATAATGAACCGATCCGGGGAAAAAGTGGTAGAATGATTTATATGTACACAAAACATTTTTAAGTGAATTTTATTCTTATAGCTTTAGAATTTAATGAAATATATTCGTTTAAGTGATTTTCGGAAGTGGACCTTATATGGGAGCTATGACCAATTATGAGCCTATCCGGAAAAAATTTCGTAGAGTGACTCATATAAAGACAAAACATATTTGTGTCGAATTTTATCACGATAGCTTTATTTGACAATGAAATATGTGCTTTTAAGTGATTTTCGGAAGTGGGCCTTATATGGTAGCTATGACCAATAATGGACCGATCCGTAAAAAAATTGGTAAAATGATTTGAATGTACATAAAACGTATTTTTGTCGAATTTTATCCCAATAGCTTTAGAATTCAATGAAATATATTTGTTTAAGTGATTTTCGGAAGTGGACCTTATATGGGAGCTATGACCAATTATGGGCTTATCCGGAAAAAATTTAGTAGAATAATTCATATTTATACGAAATATATTTATTTAGAATTCTATCACGATAGCTTTATTTGACAATGAAATATGTATTTTTAAGTGATTTTCGGAAGTGGGGTTATGTGGGAGCTATGACCAATAATGGACCGATCCGTAAAAAAATTTGTAAAATGATTTGTATGTATACTAAACATATCTGTGTCGAATTTTATTCCGATAGCTTTATAATTCAATGAAATATATGCGTTTAAGTGATTTTCGGAAGGGGACTTTATATGGGAGCTACGACCAATTATGGACCTATCCGGATAAAATTTCGTAGAGTCATTTATATTTAGACTAAACATATTTGTGTCGAATTTCATGAAGATAGCTTTATATGACAATGAAATATGAGCTTTTAAATGATTTTCGGAAGTGGGCCTCCGTAAAAAATTTGGTAAAATGATTTGTATGTATACAAAACATATTTAACTCGAATTTTATCACAATAGCTGTATTCATCAATGAAATATGTGCGGAAGTGGACCTTGTATGGGAGCTATGGCCAATTGTGGACCAACTGAGATCTACGTTGACAGTATGATTTCTGTACATATTATATTTGCATGTACAAAATTTTGTGTTATACCGATATATTTGAGGGAGTTATTAACGATAAACTAATTTCCGCGAATTTGTATGGGGGCTATAGGAAATATTGGATCGATTCTAAAGATTTTCAACATAATTGATCACTGCCATGAAAAAATAATGTGTGACAAAATTCATAGAAATATCTTTGGTAGTTTCTGAGAAAACTTCAAAAGAATTATAAAAAAACCGTATTTTTTTAGATGTAGTCTGAAATTTTTACTCATAACTTTTTACGTTGTGAACCGATTTTGCTGATTTTCAATACCAGGATAATAATAAATATTTTGGGTGAATTTGGTTGATTTCCTTTGCTTAGTTTTAACGTGAGTGTGTTTTACACAGACAGACAGACGGACATAGCTAAATAGACTCAGAATTTGATAAGGACCCAGAATATATATACTTTGTTGGGTCTTAGATGAATATTTCTTGGTGTTACACACGGAACGACAAACTTATATATACCCTCTATCACCACTGATGGTGGTGGAGGGTATAAAAAATACAATTGTACCAATTTTGCCAACCCTGGTTGAAGATAAATAATAATCTCTCTAAGTATGTAGGTATGTATATTACTTTGCGTTAATTTATTTTTATACATTAAAATTTTGTTAATCATATTTATTTTCATTGCATTTGTAATTTTAGTTTGTTTTTGAATTTTATAACAATTTTGAAGAAAGCTTTCACACGTAGAAAAATTTATGTGAATGTGAAACTAAAGTCCATTTGTAACAATTCTGCATACTCCGTTTTGTATACCCTCCATCATCTTATATCCAACAAAGTATATATATATATATATATATATATATATATATATATATATATATATATATATATATATATATATATATGTGTGTATGTGCTTTTAAGTGATTTTCGGACTGGACTTTATATGGGAGATATGACCAATAGTGGACCGATCCGGAAAAATTTGTATATACACAAATTATATTCAAGTCGAATTTCATCCCGATATCATTGAAGTATATGCTTTGTATGGAGCTATGACCAATTACGGGCCTATACGGAAAAAAATTTCTCAGAGTGATTCATATTTATACAAAACATATTTGTGTCTGATCTCATCGCAATAGCTTTATTTATTAATGAAATATGTGCGTTTAAGTGATTTTCGGAAGCACACCTCATATGGGGCTATGATTAATTATGGATCAATAAGGATCTACGTTGGTGGATTTTTGTTCATATTTTTGTTTATATGTACAAAATTTTGTGTTGATACCGATATAAAATTTTGGATCAATTATATGATTTTGAACATACTTGATTCCTGGCAGAAAAAAATAATGTGTGACAAATTGATCGAAATATCAGAGAAAACTACTTAAGAATTGGGGAAAAAACCAATTTTTTTTCGAGGTAGTCTGAAATTTTTACTCACAATTTTTTACGCTGTGAAAATATATAATAAATAGCTTAGGACAATAATAAATATTCACTGTGAATTTGGTTGATTTATTTTGCTTAGTTTTAAAGTGAGCGTGTTTTAACCATACAGACATAGCTAAATCAACACAGAATATCTCTACTTTATATATATTGTAAATTTGTGATTTTTTCAAACTTTATCTTTCTTGAGTTGTAGATTTATAAATTGACAAATGAGGGGAGAATACTTAAGTATAATGTTATGAAACATCCTAAAAGCCCAAGCAATATCGGTTACAATAATCTAGTTATCTATAAAATTACTTTTTGGGAAGAGTTCGAGCCAAAAATGTTTTGGATTCACTTATACACCGATTTTTGGCCCAAGCTACAAGAGAGAGGAATACAGAAATATCATTCATTTCTCCTCTCTAGTGTTGGCAGGTGCTTCAGAAAAAAAGCAAAATCAGATATTAAAAAAGGCTAAAAGGCTTCAAAAATAAGTAGGACGAACTATATGCAAAATGTTAAAATCGGTATATGATTTCGCCTAGATCCCATACAACTGAAACCCTCGAATAGGGTATTTGAGCTAATAATTATATTAAATACTTATACCTGTATCTCCAAAAAGGCACAACTAATTTTTTAGTTTTTTTATAAACACTAATGAATCTGGCATATTTCGTAATGGTCGGATCTCATTTGACCCTAGCCCCCATACAAAACCCCATTCCGAAAATTACTAGAATAAAAATTCACTTACATATAAACATAATATCGCTACAAATTTCAAAAAATTTATGAAAATCGGTCCATATTTGCCTCTAGATGCCATAAAAAACAGATAAAGTTTACAAAAATAATTTGTATGTAGTTTTATTAAATTCTACATAGCAATTTAATTAATATTAATAAGTAGAATCTCGCCCAAAACGCTTAAATTTACTAAAATAAAAAATCTTTGTTTTAATTCGTAAAAAAATATTTTCGTACATTACGAAATAATTTTGTTACGAAAATTAAAGTAAAGAAATAATTTTTGTAAAATAAAACAAAGTTTCGTAATATAGACGAAAAAATATATTACGACAGCTATTCGTACTTTCGTAAAATTAGAAAATGGTTTGAATTAATAATAACACGATGTGACAAAATTACAAAAAATCAATACACTCATCGCGAGACCTAGTGAAGTTGGTAATGAAGTTGGTTTAGAATCTTCAATATAACCTAAAAATCGGAATATTTTGGAAAAAAACGTTTTTTGTTGTCTAGACAGACCAAAAAAATTATATTTAAAAATTTTCTTATCCGATTTAAGGGCCCTTCAGACGATCGTAAAGTGTGATCGTCTGAAGGGCCCTTAAATCGACAAGTCTAATGAAAAAGTAAAATGAAATTCCATCCGTATGACAAAAAAGAGAATAAAAGTCGTATGATTTATATTTTTTGTGTTTACACGATTGGTATAAAGCAATAACAAAGTAAGATGGAAACAGTTGTTTCTCTTTTTTTGTATGTGTTCACATAAAAATACATCCCTGATCTAATGCGACTTGCTTGTTTTTTGAATCATTTCAAAAAATGAAGAGAGCCAAATTTTCCAACCGTATTTTCTCTCAATATGTGATGGTTTTATTACATATTTCGTTTAGACGATCCCATCTTCTACACAAAATTCTGACAGATCATATTACTTGTGTGCTCGTGAGAAGTGGGCTTTAATATATTTCAACTGTTTTGGAAAGAGTTTCCTTTGTACTTTTCAAAAAGTACACACACTTTTATATTTTTTAAGAAAATGTGTAAAATGTTTAGATCTAAATACAAATTTTTATATTTTTTGTTTCAATTTTTTTACGATTCATGATAATTTTTCACCAACACTTTATTAGAAAACATATTTTTTAAATATTTTTTTTATTTTAGACCATATTTTTATGAATAAAATAAGAAACGTTGAAAATAGATAAAAACTGACAGAAATATAATTATTTTCGTAAAAACAAAAATTTACCTCATCTCTCAAAAAAAAAAATATAAAAATTTGTATTTAGATCTAAATATTTTACACATTTCCGTTAAAATATAAAAGTGTGTATACTTTTTAAAAAGAAAAAAGCAAACTCTTTTCAAAACAGTTGAAAAATATTAAATCGGTTAAGAAAAGTTTGAGATATAATTTTTCTAGTCTAGTCTGCCAATTTTTTCCGATTTTTAGGGTATATTGAAGATTCTAAAAATGGTAAAATGATCTACTCATCTAGGTCTATAAAAAGCATTATATCGCGTAATGAGTGTCTTTGAGTGTCACACAGTGTAATTTGTATTATACACGAAATTTTACGTAAATATTAAGGAAAAAGTTGTTACGATTTTTTCGCAAAGTTAAGCATGGATTATTTTCAGTGTAAAGCGATAAATGTAACGTGTATATAATACATACCCAATATCAGATGGATCTTCTTGTTCATATGGATAGTCATCTGAATCTTCCCGTCCTGAATGCCACCACGCAATGCACCATTCTTTTATGCTACCAATACATGGATATGTCTTTTTTTTATTTCTAATGCTCTTAATCTAAATAAAAAAAACATTATTAGCATTATTTTATATAATGCGTAATCTTGTCCATACGCTTACACTTGATTTTCTGGAATTCATTCCCTGGTATGTTGAATCTATTATCATATTCGGCATGTAAACACTTTCAGCATCCGCAGAAGATTCAGATCTTGGACGCCTCCAAATATCATGTTCGTTTGCGTTAGCTCCTAGTTGTGATATTGACAGCATTCCAGTGTGATTAATAACAGTATTTTCGTCACTAAAATAAAGAATTATTTGTTAAATGTTGAAAAAACAATAAAAATTTTTTAAACAAGGAATTACACAGGGTTAAAAAATATTCATGTACGAACACTTAAATTTAATCAGTGTTGTTTATTTATCATATAATTTTTTTATATATTAGAGCTTTGCATAAGTGACTTAAATAATATTTTAAAACATTTAATTTTTTTTAAGTACTGTTTCCGACTCACATGTCATTTTTCAAATGAATATAATGTACAAAGAATATAAAGAAATTGGGGCTTGTCAGTTGGTACGTAAAGGAGTTGTCATTCGGTACCTAACTCTAAGTATGTATTGGTAGAATTTTTGTATTAGTATTGGAGCTCCAACCACTTTCACCACACTTTCCAAACATACATACTTGCATAAAATCGTACATAAAAATTTTAGGAAAAATAAATAACATTTAAATTTCTACATTCGCAGATTTTTTAATTTATTTTGCCCACATCTAATCAGTAAAAATTTAATAAATATATTTTTCTGACTTAAAATCTCTTTTTTTGCAAAAAAAATAAGTTTATTTTAAATAATTTTTTCATTTTCAATACCAAAATATACAACTTTGTTTTGTCAATTTTAATTTCAACACACAAAAATTAATTGTCAAAAAAATTAAAAAAACATTTTTTTAGTTTGTGAAAAATAAAAATATTTCGGATTGTTAAATGCGATAAAATTGTGTAAAAAATTAAAAAATAGTTATGTGTTTGTGAAAAAACGTCGTTCAAGTCCTATTATCCCGGTATTTTTGCGAAAAAGTTTTGAAGTATTGTGAGAGAATTGAGTTCTCACAAGTGTGTTGAATTTACACAGAACTCGTCTGTGAAGTGAAGGAAATGTTATTGTTGTAAAACAATGTCATAGTCCAACTTCTTATTATTCTTTGATAATGTATTCAAAACAAATGAATATAATGTATTCAAAACAAAAATCATGGTATAAAGAAAACAAGGTAACTCCGTTCTCTCTCAATGAAAAGTTTTTTGACGTAAATAAGAATTATTCAAATTTATTTTTTGTAAACAAATAAGGAGAAACGTTGCCACACATGTAGAAGGGAAAATCATATTTAGGAAATTAGAAATAAAACATGTGAAATTTATTTACTAGATACAGGAATTCACAGAAAGAATCAAGATGATAAACCATACATTCATACCATACATTCATACATACATATTCGAATCAGAGGTATCATTTGAAAGGGGTTTTAAAGCTGAATCCAATGGTTCCAAGTTTAGTACACCATTAGACGCGGATTCAAAAACCTATCAAATTATTCTCATATTGTATATTTTATTTTAGAAAAACTGTACAATTAAAAAAAATACTAAAAAGTGTCTTATTTGTAACCACTCATCAGCCATCGATACACTCAGAATATTTTGGGAACCATGATAAAACATAACAATTGTCTGTTCTAACGATATTTTCATCAAAACGGTCCAGCTCACAAACGGACAACATTAAACCCAACACAAATCCGAAAATATTTTGGTTAATATCATATAACATAAGCTGCATTTTTGCGAGTCGGTCTATGGTAGCATTCCTTTGAAGATCCGTCGAAATCTAGAGGTTTTTGCTTGGCATGTGTCTTAAAGTTAATCCGAAGGCCCTATTGGATTGGACACAAAGAAGAAATTACAGAGAAATCATATCTGTTTTACGGAGAATGGCTCGCACTACTTACAAGCAAACTTGAAATCAGCAGGGTCCGTCCGCATATTTGTCTTTATTATTTGTATTTTATGTCGAAGAATATTTGAAATTCAAATTTTGAATTTAGTTTGAAAAATATTTTCTATTTCTATATTGAAAGAAAAAAATAAATAATAAACAAAAAACTTGGATTTATAAAGTAAATATGGTAGCATATAAAAAATAAATCGCTTAAACGTCAGAAGTTTAATATGGCTACGAAAAGAGAGAACGGTTATACCTTTACTTTTTCTACTATGCCAAAAATGTATTTGACAAAAAACTCTAATAAAGTAAAATACATGAAATTAAAGAGTACACCTGTCCCTCGTTTTGCACGATAGATACGTTCCTGAGAAAATCGTGTAAAACGAATTCAAAAAAATTTTTATGGAAAATCGTGTAAATCGAAAAAATTAACAAAACTGGTATATGTATAGTATTTTTTTAATATAATTTTATTTGTTTTAATGTGAATAACGTAACAAAGCAAACAAAAGAAAACAATTTTAAACAAATTTTTAAAAATTTTATAAAATTTTTGTTGGACACATTGAAGAAATAGCTATCTGAACACCTTTGGACAATTTTTGCTGGGACCAATAGGTGAAAAGTTACACGCATTTGAAAAAAAAACCCTGTATCACCAAAATGTCCAACTTTGACCCCCTCTAAGTCCGATAGCGCGGAAAATTTGTGTCTGGCCTACTATCCAATAGTACTAACATTGGTACAAATTTCGTCAAAATCGATTATTTAATTTTATTTTTTTAACAGTTGAATTACCTGTAGTAAATTTTAGAATTTATATTGCTTAAGTACATAACCGGGAAATTCCCTTTCTAATGCCATTATTAATGCTGCCAGAACAATATTTATTATCTGTATTTTTAATAAAATAGTTAAATATCAGTAAATAAATGTTGTTTTAGTTATTTACTTACTATAAATTGTGTCAAAAGCATGTTTTCATTTAAATACAAAAATCGTGCAAAACGAGGTATTTTTCATACCTCGATTTACACGAGAAATAAAAAAATCGTGTTAAATCGAAATCGTGCAAAACAAGTATCGTGCAAAACGAGGGATAGGTGTATAGCATAATATGAGTAATGAGTGTTTTTGTATTTCAAATCGAGTGCAAAACAGCGAGTGAATCGAATCACAGAAGAATTTATTACGTGTTTCAATTGGAATGCAATTCTTTGAATGAATTACCGTTCGTAATGAATTTTAATAGCGATATTACTAATAAACCGCATTATTGTTTACATGTATCTATATTTTGTTAATGTAAATGATGTAATAATTATATTTGAATTTTATTTAGAAATGTAAACAAAACTACTTTTAAGTGAAAAATATGATATATAAGGTCTTTTATAATTATATATTAGCATTAAGAGCACCTACTTCTTGTGCTGTTTTTTGTGATCTTTTCAAAAATTACGTTACGGGCACAAGAGAAAACCCGTTCAGAAAGCGCACTACTTGCTGGTATTGCCAAGATTCGACAGCTCATGTTATGTTCTTATGCTAATCCCACCACTTAGGTGTGTCGAAATCATTAAAAAGCAAACTTCTTTCTGAGTTATCATATCTTCTCAACTCTGCCGCCACTAAAACCTCGTTGATTTGAAAATTAGGTGAAGGAATAAAATCTGAAACAGTTCTAAATTTTGCGATGAGATTGGAGGTTTGCAGGCAGTTTCCAAGTAGTACCTAAGCTTGCTTTTCAAAGCCTATTACAATACTTATTCTCGTTGTTTTCAGCGATTTTTTTTAAGCTTTTTAAGTAAATGTAGAATTATCCAAATGAATTGTTGGATATTTCTCTCCCTCTAGCCACATCGAGGCTTCATTAAAGGAACAAATTATGTCCAACATAGCAGTTATATTTCTTAATTCAGTATTCTGTATTCGTTCCTTTTCAAACTAATTTTCGATTTTATGTATTTTTATTTATATTAAAAAAATATTTTTCTTTTGGCATTTAAAACTCGATTCAAAACATTTATTTTGTATTCTTTAAACATACGTAAGATGTTTACTTACTCGATTTGAATGTAGACGTACACATTAGGGTGGGTCGAAAAAAAAAGGTTGAGTCAGTCACCCCCTACGATTAAAGATATGTTAATAACATTTCAAAAAATATAAAAAATATTTTTTTGCCACGCCTAGAAATACCGCCCTTTTTGTTTTTTATATATAACGTCGCCATTTTAAGTCCGATCGTAACATATAATATATCAATTTTTATGGCTTGACTGTAGCTATATTTCATTTTTTAACAATTTTTTAATTCGACGTCATATTCTATGCGCGACTTCTGATATCTCGAATCCTTCCCCAAAAACTAAAATTGTGGCTACACTGTAATAAAGTACATTTGATTATATGAGCTATTTTCTGCCAAAATGCTCACTTTTATGCATAAACAGCTATTTTAGAGGTATTTAAAACTACCTGTATAGTTCTAACTACAAATAATTAATTTGCTAGGGATATGGTCAAAAACTATTTTTTTCAAATTAATTTACAATACAAAAATTTCATTCTGCCCCCTATCTTAACACAAGACAGATAATTTTGTTCAGCATTTAATTTTATTAATTAATAACAAAATCACGTAAGTACATAAAAACTAAACATTTTATTTTATAAAAATCGATGAAAAAGTAAGGAGTTTATAAAAATATTTCATGTATTTACCATACAATTACTTGCATGTTTCTCGATTTTTTTTAACAATTTTTAAAAATGTTTATACTAATCTTTATTAAATGTAATAAATTTATTTAAAGATATATTAACTTTTCTTAAATAGTTATATATTTTTAAAGAAGTTCTTGAAATAAAAATTAATAAAAAACAAGTAGGAAAGAATAGTCGGGCATGGCCGACCATATAATACCCTACACCATGAGTATATTTTTAAAATTTTTATTTTTCATAAAGAAACTTTTATATTGAATTTTACCTTAATTCCAAAGTATTTAAGCAAGTTATTGATAAAAATCGAAATTTTCTAAATGAGGCTTTATATAGGAGTATAGGTCAAACATGGGCCGATCCTCATTAAATTTGGGAAAAGGATATATTTTTAAATAACAGTTAGTTTTGTTTTGTTTCATTGCGATACAAATGGTTACAAGTCAATTATAGACGTCTAAGACATTTTTTGAAGGGGGGTTTGTATGGGGGCTAGGGTCAAATAAAGGCCGATCATTACGAAAATCTGCAGTGTCATTAATACTTATATAA